TTTCCCACAGAGATCAAACCAATTTATTAAAAATGTGGTAATACAAAACGCTGTTACAACAGCCAAAACAATTTGTCAAGAAAGATATAGACTTGAACATCAAGTTGATATCTTTCTTCATAAATTCATGATGGAGATATTTACTGAACATCGAGATAGAAGGAGAAAAAATATGAGTGGAAAAAATTTCAAGAAACGTGGGATTATCTTTAGAACAAGAAATACAAAGAGAATTGTTTTAATCTATGGATATAATTATAAAAAAAATAAAAAAACACATTGATAAGTTCCATGTTCTTACAAGAAAATATTTGTGTATAATAATGCGTAACCAGCTAAATTAGAATGTTTATTAAATAACTTTGACGAGTTTGAATGTCAAATAAATAACTTTATTGACATTTATAAAAAACAGCTTTATATTGAAAGATGAAGGATTCAGGATTTTAAAGCTGTGCCAGCACCACAAGAGGAGACAAAATGTTGAAAAAACAGCGGGGAAAGCAGGGCTGTCCCGAAGAGATTTTAAAGGTGAGGGGGGGGTGACGTGTCTGTTTTTTGCCAACTAAAGCTAAAAAAATTTTTTTTACCCACTAACTTATCTAAAAAAAAAAAAAAATCCTTTTTTTCTGACTGCCAACTATAGATCCAATTTTGCCGACTCCAGTTACAATTTGCTGACTAATAAAATTCGTTAGGGGGGTAGACACCCCCCTCCCTGGGGATGGCCCTGGGGGAAGGTCCTCTTGATCTACTAAAATTTATTCAACAGTATAGATTGGAAAATTCTATAACTAACATTGTAATTTTGCTAAGAATTTTTTTAACAATTGCTGTCAGTGTGGCTAGTTGCGAGCTTCTCTAAATTAAAGTTAATAAAAAATTATCTTTGTTCCACAATGAGTGATTAAAGGAAAACCTTGCAACATTGTCCATTCAACAAAAAATTATAATATAATATTTAAAACCATTGTACATAACTTTTTTAAAAATCAAAATCAAAAGTAAAACATATCTATACCTAAAAACTTTTTAATTTCATTTGTTGAAATAAAATGCTAAGTTTTTTAAAAAACTAAATATCATTAAGGGAATCTATCAGCCATTTAAAATATTAAATTATTCCTGTTTTATTCAGCACGTACTGATAATGTTCTTCACTTCTAGATGATAAAAAATCTAAGCTCAGTTTAATTTCATATTTGGAGGAGTCATTCAAAACTTGCTGATTAACTAGAGAAGTTTTATTATTATTTTTTTAATATTTATTTGACTTCAATAAAAAATTACAATTGCAGAATAGCTTATTACAAATATAATCGGCAGGACTTCCAGAAGATCATACAATCTTATCATGAAGCCCTTTAATGTCAAATATAATAATAATAATAATAAAAATAATAATAAATCAAATTAATAAAAATAAATCAACATAAACTATATATAACTGTGCATTTTAAATATAAATATACTGGATAAAATATATGAAACATAAGAACTAAAAACAAGAAAAAATACTTTCTGTTGAAATGATAACTTCTTTTAATTTTCGTTTAAAATAAGTTAAAGTCCATTTCAAAAACAAATCAAAATTAAAAAACTATTTTATTCCATAAATAAGGCCCGTGATAAGAAATAGTTATTCAAATTTAGTAAGGCAGAAAGGTTCTTGGATTTGACATATTTTTTCTATTGTGAAGATTGTAATTGTCTATGGATTTTACATTATAAAGGTTTATAAATACATCAGGAGTTAAATGATTTTTACATTTAAACATAAAACATAAAATATTATAAACATTTAGTTTGTATACATTTAAGGCTTTCATTTCTCTCAAGTGGTTTTAAATTTGAAAAATGACTTACAAAATTAATTAAGCAAGATGCATGTTTCTGATGCTGATAAAGAGATTTAAGTTTAGTTTAGCACTTTCCCACACAACATTTGCTTTTAATTTAAATTACAGTGGATAAACAAATAATATAGTTGTTATAACTGTTGTTTATTTAAAATATGTCAAACTCTATATACAATTCCAATTTTTTTAGCAACTCTCATGCAGATCGATTTGCTGTTTCAAGAATAAGTTTTTGTCTACAAGAACTCCAAGAAGATTGTTTTGTAACTTTTTCCCTTTTTAGTATTGTATTATCAATAAAGAGGTCGAGCATCTTACTTGGCAAACATTTTTTCCTGAATATTGGGTATAAGTGTTCATTTTGCTCTATTAAAATTGAGGAACATTCTGTTTTTTTTAAAACCAATGAGACTTTATTTAATTCTTGTATCATATTATTAAAAAGCGTATTTGTATTTTTATGATATCGGAATAGGTTTGTGTCATCAGCAAAAATTAAAGCGGTTAAGTTAGAGGCTTTTTCAAGATCATTTATATATATTAAAAATAATAGGGGCCCAACTATGGATCCTTATGGGACACTATGTGTTATATTCATTAATAACAGCAAAGAAGAGCCTTGGATATTAACAAACTGCCTACGATTACTAAGAACCAGCTTAGGGATTTATCTTTAATGCCATAGAGTTTAAATTTTTTTAATAGAATGTAGCAATTGACAATATCAAAAGCTTTGGACAAATCAATGAATAATCCTAGTGTATAATGAGAACTTAAAAAAAAAAATCAGAAATGCTACATGTTAGTTGGAGTATGGCATGTTCAGTAGAATTGCTTCTCTGGAAACTAAATTGATTATTATATAAAAGTTTAGTATCAACAAAATAATTGTAGACTCTGTTATACATTATTCTTTCTAATATTAAAAAAAAAAATTGGAAAAACTGAAATAGGACGATAATTTGTAATGTTGGAATGTTCACCTGATTTAAAAATAGGAGTTATTTTTGCTACATTTAGTGAGTCTAAAAAGGATCCTTGAGCAATAGATGCTTTACAAATTTTAAAGAGTATATCTTTCAAAATGTCAAAGGAGTCTATTTTAACATTTCCATTGATGCAATCAACCCTAATTGCCCTATTTCATTTTAATGATTTAAACGCTGCTTCAAATTTGCTGTATGTTAGGTTTGAAAAATTTAAAGTTGAATGTTATAAACTCATCAATTAATTTGTCATTAAGATAAGGAATTTTATTAGATAAGTTTGTTCTGATTAAAAAAAATTTAAATTTATAAGCAATTTTATTAGGGTCATTACATAATTTGTTTTTAACTTTTATTGCATTTGGTACTAATATTGTACTTTTCTTATTTTTTCCTGATCTTTTTTATTAATTGCTCAATACGCTTTGTTATGTTTGTGCTTTGCAAACAAGTCAGAGTAGTAATTTCTTTTCACATTTTTACGGAGTTTTAAGTTAAGTAGTTATTTTTATGATTGATTTTTTTATTTTAAATATTTAATATACAGTTTTTGTTTCACTTTTGATGATTTTATAAGTCCTTTAGTTATCCAATGACATGATACGTCTTTGGCGTTAAGGATTATTTCACAAATAGGAAAGCTTGCATCATAAATGGTTTTAAATGTTTTAAAAAAGGAATAGTAGATCAGGATTATATCATCATTGAAGTTAATACTGCTCCAGTTTTGATTCGAAATTTGTTCCTTAAATGATTTCAAGTTATTGAAATAACTTTTAATTGAATTTTTAACTTGCATATATACAACAACAACAGTCTTCATCAGAAACACTCATATCGTGTCTAAGTTATAAAGAATATTTTCTTTTATATAAATATATACTCCTCATTCTCACTTATTAATTTTAGATTCTAAAAAAACCTAATTAAAATCTGGGAGACGTTTCCGTTAAACAAATAATGTTAAAAAAGTTTTGTGTTTTGCATAATAAATTTAAAAAACTTTCAAAGTTTTTTTTGAGACTCCAAATATTTATGAGGATGACATTAAAATAATCACTATTTTGTTCCATATTAAAGTAATTTCTTATTTTATTTGGATAAATATACATTTAAACTCAGGCGTATTAATTTCGCTAAAATAATTCATATCTGGGAAAAAAGGAAGAAGTTTTATAAGAATCTCAGAGAAGTTTTATATGAAACAAGTTTCAAGTTTAATATAAATCAAGTTGAATACTGGAATACTCTAATATTCAACTTCTTCTGTCAGAAACTGTGGATCAAGCTGCAGAATGTAAAACATAAGTCTGATTCAAAAAGATCAGAAAAATATCTCTAATATTCGATTAAATTTTGTAAAACATTCCAAACAAGGCTACAAGCAACCACTACTTAAGTTGGTTTTAACAAAAAGCAAAAAATAGAGAATTAAAGAGAAAAAAAAAACAGTTGACATAAAACTGAAAATCTTCAAGTCAGAAAAACATGAAGCCAGGAGAGAATTCCAAAGAACAGATAAAAAAAAAAAAAATAGATGTAGAAAGTTTTTTAGCAAGAGGAAACAGTTGTAGTAAAAAGATGAAACTTTGTTGAATGACAAGCCAGACAAGAGTTTGAGTTTTGGTTGATGGAACAAATAATGAGCAATATACAAATTTTGCAGGTAATGCAGGTTCAACTAGTGCAGATGCTAACTTTGAAACAGATTGTCGTAATAGTAGTAAAGGTAATAATAGTAGTAAAGGATGTTCTGAGAAGACAAAAGGTATATCTCTCAGTAAGTGTGTTGCTCAATATAGGAATATAAACAATATTGCAATAACTGTGAATAACCGAGTTTTGTTTGGGCTAAAAATCACCAGCCATTGCAAGCTGTCAGAGATGAAAGATCATAATCAATGGATAAAAAAGTGATAAAATTTATCAAGACTGGAGTATATAGTCTTAAGTCACTTCAAAGGTAAAAATATCAGGACAATCATCAATATAAATGATAAACAACAATAGCTAAAGAGAGTAAGAGAACCCACAAAAAACTTTAATTGCACTTTTTGAACAGAACTTTTCAAAAAATTTGAATTAAAGCAGCAATTTTTTTTGTCATTATTCTTTGTTACTTATATATAAACATAAAAAAGAAACAAATGTGCACCTTGATTGAGAAGTTAAACTATAATTCTCATCTGTGTGTGAAAAAACCATGCCAACATGATCAACAGCAGAGTTATCAACACTATTATCAGTTAACAAACTATCACCAGGATCTGTTAACAAGTTTGTTAAGATTCCAATGTTAATTTCATCATTTGTTTTCATTAAGCAACTTGTCTCAGAATCAACAGGATCTAATGGAAGACTTGTTGGACTTTCTGTATCATCTTGATCTTCTTCTAAAGTAATTCTTTTTTCTATATCATCTTCATCTTCTTCATCCTCCTCCCTGTCATCTTCTTTTGATTCTAATTCTTCTTCTCGCTCTTCTTTCAGTGAGATCAAAGAAAACTCTGGCAAAGATTTTTGTAGCAGCTGAAAAAGAATTACTACGTTTTTGTCTAAAGACTGATGCAAAAATATTGTCACATCAAAACAAAAGTAATTAGATAATATATAAGAAATTAGATAATAATAAAATTAAATACTTACTTATGCAAAGTCCGTAAAAAATGATTGTACACTTTACATATTATCTATTGTTTATTATTATATATCATTTTATATATTATAAATTGTTCAATATATCTTTTTATTTTATTTACATACATCTACTTCCTCTTCATCAGCACTAATGTAATCATCTTTGACAGAAGTAACATTATCAGATTCGCTACCACAAGGAGATATATGACCACATTCAGAAAATTCGTCTGCAAGTTCAGAATTAGATGTCCAACCAAATGTTCCAACCTCCAACATTATATCTTTATCAAGCTCATCATCCAAGAAATCAAAATCTGTGAATATGTTTGTGAGCTAAATATTGTATATATAAAAATATATAAATTACATTGCAAATATGAATAGATAGTTAAGCACAAATATAACATAAAATAATATGGATATTTTTATCATGTCACATTTGTTTATTTAGATTTATGCATTATATCTAAGAAATAATTTATTTATTTGCATATTCTATATGTACATTTTATAATATAATAACATGATAATTTTTTGAATATTTTATAAAAAAGAGTTGACAAATCCAAACAAAAAAATCAAAAAAAATTTTTTTATTGCTTAAGCTCAGACATTTATCTGTTTCATTCAAACTTAAACTTAAGCTCAGACAAACATTCCAAGCTTACCCTTTTTATTTGGAGAAAATGCATGAGCTGCGCAATTCTAATTAATCAATCACAAGAGTATGCTAGAAAACTCAATTGGTCAATTTTGATCCTCAATTAGCTCAATACTTATATATCTAATGTATAAGAGTTTCTTAATAAGATAATCACCAATAGTATACAAAGCTTTGAATTTATTTCTTAGAGAAACTCAAATTACATACTTTTATTATATATTCGATTTTTAATGTGACTTAAATTACTGGCATTCATAAGTACATATGCATAGATAAATATATTAATAAAACTGTATATAAATATACAGTTAATTAATAAAAAAGTGTAACTCACTCTCTGACCAGAGAAATCAACTTCAATGTTTTCTCCTAATGGTTCTTCTCCTGATCCATCTTCTGAAGACATAGCTCGTTCTAGGTCCAGTTCACTTGATGAACTGAAGATAACAGAAAGACTTTGTTTTAAACCGCCTTTGTGTCCACACATTGGAAGCAGCTGCACAAGCCTTTCTCTTGTACGTTTCTATAATAAAAATCAATAGAAAACAGAAAAATAAAGTTCTCATATCTCACAACACACTCACACATTAAAATAAACAAACCTGTGAACCATGTGGCTTTCTCCAACATGGAGCTGCTGTTGTTGCACCTGGTGTTGCTTCAATATGATCCTTTAATTCTTCTAAATTATATCTAGCACCAATAACTGGGGTATTAGAAACATTAAAAGAAAACTCAAGAGTACGACCAGGCAGATCTTTTTTAAACATATCTGATGATAGAGACCAAGAACTTTCTCCAAATGACATGCTATGAACTCGTGATGGCTTAGGGGCAAGAGAAATAATAGAGCCCAATGATCCCCTGGGTTGTACAAGTTGTGAAGATGTAGTACGCAAAAAAGATTGATGTGCTTGTTGAATGTGTGACGAGTTGGAAACTACTAGTTTTAGAATATTCAACGACTCTTTCCATAAGTTCACGTCCTAAAAAAAATGTATAAAAAATGATTTTGGCTAGTTAGTAATTAACAGGTAACAAAAAAAATTTGTTTCATAACAAATAAACTTAACTTCTTTTGAAAAAATTAATTTAAAACATTAGATGCTATCAATTGTTGTGAAAATGTAATGATAGTTTTAACATTTTCTCCCTGCTAAACACATCCTATGCAACCTTTAGATGTGGCAGCTATTCAACCCAGTTAAAATGAATTAGTAAAATTTAAATAATAATTTTTATATAAAAATCTAATCTTTGACAATCTATAACTTAAGTGGAGTTTTAAGTGGAGTTAAATAAATGAAAGTTCAATTTTGTTTAATACAACTACTACTGCTTGTATTTTTTAAAAAAGTTTCTTTTTGAACTTCTTTAGGATTTTGCTCAGTTTGTTTGCTTCATATTATTTTAAATAAAGTTAAAAAATATCCTGGACATTATTATAGATCAAAAACGTTAAAACTTTTACATAGTATTTAAGTCAATAAATTTCATAAAAAACAGTTTTTTTTTTTCACTCAAAGTTCTATGTGTTAGAATGATTAGCTTTTATCCAATCCGGGGAAAACAATAACAATACATGATTAGTTGGCATATTGTATACCACAACATTTATTGCCAAAAATTTCTGAACCTGCATAATGTACTTTTTCATGAAATGATTTTTGTAAAAACGATTTCTTATATGCTGATTAACCAATTGTCCTCTGAAAGAAACATTTAGTTTATCTAACTCTGATGCTCATAAAGTTGTTATACATCAAATTCCCAGCACATCTGATGGGATAATTATTAAAAAATAGAATGATATGATTGATGACCAAAACCAAAAAATTATTTCTAATACCCTTCAATTAAACTACATCTAACACCTGAATCTGTATTATCATTTCCAAAAGCTCTACCTTGCAAAAAAAGAAAAATAAAAGTAGAAAAAGTTGTAAATCTAAGATTGTCACTCCAGAAAGAGAAGAAATAAAACACACACAGACACTCACACACAAACACACACAGACACACACACACAGAGTGGCTTTCATAAACATAAGGTCACTTAGATTTTTTAGTGATTACTTAAGTTACTAAATAAATTTTTTAGTGATTACTAGCTTTTTAAAGAAATAAAAAAAAGAATATAGATTTTATTTTTATTTGTAATACATTGAATAACAAAATTAAACAGAAAACTTATTTACTAAAATAAGTTTAAATTAAAAAATGAAAAAAATAATTCATTTTGGTACCAAAATCAATTAAACAGGAAAATTAGGTCAAAAAACTATAATAAAAAAATGTGTCAAAAATATAAGATTACATTTTAATTCAGTATTTTGCTAGACCACCACATGCTTTTGACTACAACATGCTTTTGACCACCATGTGCTTTTGACCACTACATGCATTAAGGCAGGCTTGAATACATTTAGGTATAGATTTAGATGCAATCAGAGGCTAAGGCTATTGCTCTCAACATTTCTAAAGCCTTTAATAAAGTATATATAAAATGCTTTATTATAGCAAATCATAAACTTCATTTGTTTTCATTTGCTGGTGCTGATTTAAAGCTGTCCCAGATGTATTTGAAGCTATGACTATAAAATGGAAGGATACTGAGTTTATTTTTAGCTTAAAAATCATACAAACACTACAATTTCATTCTTGAACAATTGTTTTGGCTAGATACAAAAAAAAAATTGATTAAATTAAATAAAATATTGATTAATAAAAATAAGTTATAAAAATGTTCAAAGCTGCCCCTTTTTTTCGCTGTTAAAATAATCTGTTAATACTTTTTTTTTCGCTGTTAAAATAATCTGTTTATACTTTTTTTTTTCCCTGTTAAAATAATCTGTTAATACTTTTTTTTTCCCTGTTAAAATAATCTGTTAATACTTTTTTTTCCCTGTTAAAATAATCTGTTAATACTTTTTTACTGTAAAGTTATTATAATAGTTATTGAAAATATTTTTATAATTATATTGAATGTTAATCTTTATTATTACTTTTATTACCCAAAAATCAAAATTGAATTTTAAACTCCTAGCTATGCCTTAGCTAGGGGTTTGACAACACCATTCAAAATTAGATAACAATGTTACTTTTATAAAAGGATGTCTCTATATTATTTTTGTAAAATTATATCTCTTTGTTAATTTTATAAAATTATATAAACTTCTGGTTATTACAGTGTTAATGGTCAATCAGAGCCCAATAAAAACTATTGATGAAGTTCCTCTGTCATTTTAATATCTTAAAATTTATTACCAATTTTTTTTTAACTTAAATTTTTTTATCTAACTTTATTATCAATCTTTTGTCTTAAAACATTACTTTTTCCCTGAAGCATTGCTTTAGGTCTGCAAACAGCTAATAGTCACTAGTCACTAAATCAAAAGAATATGGCAAAGATAATTTGTTTTTTTTTGAATTGTTTTTAACGCTTTTGGAAAGGGTTTTTTGATTTAACTTACACAATTAACCAGATCCCTAGTCTACAATATGTTAAAAAACACAAATACGTTAGAACTATTACTTTTAGCAAGTTAATATTAGATTAGCCTTTGCTTGATTTGTTTCCTGAGTTTTTTTATTTTATAAAGAAAGTCTAAAAAGACTTAAAATAATAATCACAGAGCTCTGGCACATGCTGTTTCTGATCTAACTGACTATATGCTTTGAGCAGGGTTTGAATTTACAACTCTTAGATTACAAGCCCAATGCTCTAACTATTGCACCATGGCTGAAATAAATTAATTTTTACATAAATAAGTTTGCTAAAAGTAGGACCATGATTTATAAATAGATTTTAAATTTTTTCAAACAGTATCATATAATGTTTAGAATTCCTCATTTTTTAAACATTTAACAGTTTTAAAAAAAGGGTGAAAATATATATATATAAAAGATACAGTTTTTAATAAATCTTCAACAGTTTCTCATAATAACCTACTGGAATTAGTGGTTTCATTAATCTTCAACAATTTCTCACAACAATTGGAATTATTGATTTTAAAAAAATAAGAAGTAAAATTAAATTTTTCTTTATAAAATTAAAAAGGTGTTTTATAAAACCTTTTTTTATTATATTAGAATGATTGATTAATAAGACTTCTATTCTTTTGAAACTTAAGTTACAAATTTATCTTAAAACCTAGGTTACAAATTTTGAACTTGTTTGAAATTAGATTTATCATATTTAAGTTTATTACTAAACTTTTATTAAACTGCAGTAAGAGATGATACAGTGATTCTCGATGCTTGATGCAAACAACAGATACAATATTCTACAATATTTCTACAGTATTTTTTCAATATTAGATATTATTTTTAAATAAAGAAATAATTTTTACTTAGTGTTAAACTAATCATTAATTTGCTCAACAAAATATTTAAAATAGATAAATAACTTATTTAGCTTTATTTGAACAACAACAACAAAAAAAAAAAATATATATATATATACTTTAACATGAGAAGTAATGACCCGAAGTAGATAACTATGAAATTGCTTCAATCCTGGAGAAGTCACATCAGAATATTTCAAAATAGCACATATAATATTCAAAACAGACTGATGGAATATTGGAGGTCCTTGTTCTAGCATCTAAAAAAATAAAGGATTTTAAATTTTTCTAACCAATGTAAATTTTATATCTTTTATGTGTTTACACCCTTATGCACAATCCATAATATACATTTGTATCTCACTTAAAAAGCACATGCATTGTCATGTTATAAGTAACTCAAAAAACGCAAATCCGTTTTAATGTTATTACAAACAAGTTAAGCTTTTTCTATAAAAAATTAAAAAATCACACGCAGCTGCATCTTATTTAAAACACATAAATTTAAAAAAAATATACAAAATGCATATAAAATTTTATATAAAAAGCTTTCAATAATTAAAAATATAAGACCTCAACTAGCAATGCAAGAAGTTGCACGCTGTAATTTGGAAAGGCATCAACAAGATTTTTACAAACAACTTCAATCCAAAAGTGAACACTTTTTGAATATTCTTTTTTGATATACATGACCATCAAAGTAGCAAGGTCTTTTAATTTTAAATTACTTTCACATGCCTAAAAACAACAACAACACAAAAACACATCATGAGCATGAAAAATTTTAAACTACTTTCACATGCCTAAAAAAAAAATAGAAACACAAGGACACATCATGAATAAGAAAACTTTATAAAAAGTTTAAAATAAAAATCATCAATATAACCTGAACAATTCTTAGTGCAGCAACCTGACAAAATTCATCTGGTGCATCAAATGAATTAATCAAACGAGGCAAAAGTGATATAACATTTAATGAAAGTCCTACAATAAATTGTTAAAAATTATAAAATTAATCAATATTAAATGATTAAAGAAAGGAAACCATATTATAAAAACTATTTATTTCTATAAATTACCTAAGGTCAAATTAGGACTGATTACAGAAATAGAATTCATTGTTGTTAATTTTGAAAGTAAATATTGTGTTTGTTCAGCAGTACCAGATGAAGTTAAACCCTAATAAAGGTTTTTAAACATTTTTCATATATATAACTTTTATATTGAAAAATTTTAGTTTTAAAACTGAAATATCAAATAATGACAACAACAACAAACAACAACAGGTAACAAACAATAACAATAAACAACAACAGGTAACAAACAACAACAATAAACAACAACAGGTAACAAACAACAACAATAAACAACAACAAATAATACACAAAAATAAACAACAGCAGGTAACAAACAGCAAAAATAAACAACAAATAACAAACAACCATAATAAACAACAACCATAATAAACAACAACAGGTAACAAACAACAACAGATAACAAACAACAACAATAAACAACAATAGATAACAAGCAACAATAATAAACAACATCAAAAAACAAACAACAATAATAAACAACATCAGATAACAAACAACAATAATGAATAATTACAGGTAACAAACAACAATAAGCATAATAAATAAAACAAAAATAACAATAATAGATAACAAGATACAATAAACAATAATTACAAATAACAGATAAAATAAAACAGAATGCTATACAGTTTAAAAAAAAAAAAGTTACTTTTAAAAGTAAACTTTGCAGTCCTGGAAAATTTAACCAATTTATTTTATCAAACACTTTCTCCACACGTTCAACACTTTTTGCGTCTTCCAAATTTAATTTATCAAACACCTATTGAAATTTTATTACATTAATAATATGGAAATATCTAGTAATCAAGATAAAATTTAAATAAATTAAAATTAATAATATACTTGTAATATCTAACTGTAAATGTAAAAATAACAAAAATTTAAACATATGCCAACATAAAACCAACACAAGTAATGTCAAACTGTTACATTTTTTTCATAAACTACTCAAGCAAACTGACTAATAAACAAACAAATAACAAAGATTCAGTGATAAAAATTAACATTTAAGCAAAAATGGCTACCTTATCAATAAGCTTTATTGCAAGCAAAAATTCATGCTCATAATCTGACTCAAGTAAAGATACACCTATCCAAAAAAATCGAGCTAGTATGTCATAAGGACTTTGTGGTAGTTCATTCTCAGAAAACTCTACGGTTGGAGTATCAGAAAAGTCATCTGAAATGCTGCAACATCAGAAAACACACAAAAAACCAAAAACATTATTTTATATTTAAACTTTAAAAAACAAATACTAATACTATTTAAAAAAACATAATATAAACTATTTTATATTATGTTAAAAAACATATAAATGAATAATAAATAATTAAATAGTATAAATAAAGACTTTAACTTAAATCTAAACACCCATTTTATATAAACATTAAAACATTCTTTTTTTATATAAGAAACTTGATTAAACTCAAACAATTTTATCCTACATCAAGGAACATAGAAAATATAAAAAGACTTATAAAGTTTGAAGCATTTATCTAGAATATGGCAAACTGTAAACAGTTAAAAAAAATGTTTAACCAGAATAATAATATTAATAAAATTTGCTTTAAAGATTTATGAATAAATACCTGACTTTAAAATCACTTAATGATCTATAACGTTTATATTCGTGACTGCAATCTGTACTTCTTGATCTTCGATGATGCCCTGCTGGAAGATTTGAAACTGATAAGTCTTTAACACTGCTAAACTTAAATGAGTCAGGTAAAACAAATGAAGCCTTAAGTATAGATTTTGGATGAGGATTGAATGCATAGTCTACTTCAGCCAAAAAAGTAAGAAGGATTTCCATAAAATAACCCTAAGTTTAAAAAAAGTTATCTTTGTCATTGATTACAAGAAAAATCTTGAACTCAGACTTGCATTGATTATATAATTATTAACATATAATTACATAACTATAGTTATTTTTATAAACAAAAAAATGTATCTGTGTTTTATCAATAAAATGTTTTTAACATATATTATTATTTGATATTATTTTAAATGTATAATCTCTTAAACTACAAATGTAACAAATAAAAATTAAATAAAAAACATTACAATGATAAATTCTAACAAATAGGTACCAGGTTTTTCATAAAAAAAACATTACAAACATAGCTTCTAATAAATAGGTACCAGTGTTACCAAATGTTTCTTTTAACAATAATAAGGGATAAAACACTGAAAGCATTTAATATAAAAGACACTTACTTGAACATCTTCACCACTATCTGCAACAGATTCCACAAGGCGCTGTAAGATATCTGACAACATTGGCCATGACAAAGGAACTTTTAAAGAACGAAATATTTGAAAAGATCTTCCTGCATAATGTCTTGATGAGCAAGATGTTGCCCAATACAAAGACTCTCTACCCCAACGACCACGTAACGAAGATGATGGCAAGGCATCATCAAACAATGAAATTATAATATGTAGGAATGATTCAAGATGATTAGAGGACTTTATAGTACAGTTTCTAGGCGTAATGTCTTCAAAGGTCCATAACGGTTTACACCCACTAAAATTATATTAAAAAATAATTGTTCAATAATTTATCAAATCATTGTAATTATCAAATCACTATATTGAAACAGCAAAAAATAATAAAATTTAAATAGATAACATTTACCTCTTAGCCAGATACTCAATTACATGTCTAGCTTTTTCTGATATGCTCATCCCGTTTTCTTCTAATTCTGGACCATTGACTCTAGTTTCAACATTTGCACTGAATAAAAGTAAACTCAAAACTAAGAGTATATAAAAACATTTTTTAAATAAAAAAATTGTTTTAATGAGTAAAAAAAGTGCATAATTTTAATATCAAAATAAAAAAAAGGGAAAGAATAAGAATATATTAATTGAAAACGTAAAAGTGAATAGCTGCTTTTTAAAATTTGTTGAAATAATTTTGTTTCTGCTCTCAAATTTTAAAGAATGTTGCAAAACATTTTTTTTAATTAGCTTACTTTCAAAAGCCTTGTTATAAATTAAATATTGACTTAAATGGTGCATTTTTTTTTAACTAATGCTAGAATATGAAATAAAATATTAGAAAAAAAAAATGAAATTAAAATATTTTCTGATTAGAAACAACCATTCAATTTAATAGATATTTTAAATTCTTCAAAAGTAATGGAGAATTCAATTTTAGATTTTAATAATAGAATTTCTTGTGGGTTTTATTTTATATAAAATTATTATACAAAAATGAGTTTAAAAAATTTATCATTTCAAGATGTCAATAAGTAAAAAGTTGTCAACAAAAAAGATATAAGCTGAGATATCTGATATAAGAAAAAAAATACTTCAATCAGAAAGCTGCACTTATTCACATTGCATTTTTTTAACAATAATAGATTGCAAGAACAACAAAAAAAAGTTTAAAAGGGTCAAGCTCAACAACTGTGTGTGTTCATTTAAGATTCTTTTTTGAATGGAGATATGATTGAACATAGAATGATGTCATTAACTCCATATGCAGTTACTTTCGTTGCACAAACCAATCAGATCTATTTAAATCGTTGCACAAACCAATCAGAATCATTTAAAAATGCCAAAGATCTGACAAAGATCAGATTTGTGCATTTACAAACAGAAAATTAAAAAGATGGTCAAAAGAAATATTAAAAAAAAAACTCACAACTAAGCATCTGCTAAATTCACTTCTAGCATGTGAGAAATACTTGATAGTTATTATGAAATTGCCACCTGTCTGGTATACTTTTTGATTTTCACACTTGGGTTTGCATTATGAAACTCATTGGTCATAATGAAAAAATCCATTATAAAATGAATAATCAATGTAACACTGATAAACCATGCCCAACCTTAGTTAAATAAGTTTTTTATCACTTGAACAAGTGTATAAGTGTAAAAAATATTTGCACCCTATACCTGGTTTAACATTCCTAGATATTAATATACTGAGT